AGGACAGCCTTGATAAAGGGTTATCTCCCAACACCATCAGACGGCAGGTGGCGGCCTTGGGCACTGTTCTCACTTGGGAGGGCGGCCAAGCTATTTCACAGTACCCCACGGTAAAAAAGTTCTTAAGGGGGGCTACCAACCTGCAGCCACTGGCTGTACACTGTTACCCAACCTGGGATCTTACCAGGTTCCTTGGGGCCCTTACCAAGCCGCCATTCAAGCCTTTAAAAGAAATTTCCATGGAATTACTTACTTGGAAAGTTGCCTTCCTGGTGGCGATAACTTCCGCCAGGAGGATTTTGGAACTATACACTCTCTCTTTTAGGGAGGACCTGTGCAAGTTTCACGATGATAGGGTGGTCCTTCGGCTTGACCCTTCTTTTGTGCCGAAGGTGGGGTCAGTTCCATAGGTCCTAGGAGGTGGTGCTCCCTAATTTCTGCCCCACCCTGACTCACCAGCTCGAGAAGCAATAGCACAATCTTGATGTCCCGTCGGGCACTGAAAATTTATATCGCATGCACGTCTGAGATTAGACGGTCGGAGGCGCTTTTTGTATCTTTTCAGTCTTCGTCCTTGGGTAAAAAGGTCTCCACGACAGTGATTGGCAGATGGGTGAGGCGTTGTATTGCGATAGCCTACACAGCCCAGGAGCTGGATGTTCCAGGGAGTATTACCACTCACTCTATGCGGAGTGCTGCCATCACCGCAGCATCGGCCACTTAGGCTTCTCTGGACGAGATCTGTAGGGTGGCAGCTTGGGCATCCCCATCACCATTTATCAGAAACTATAAGTTGGACAAGTTTGCATTGGCAGAGGCCACTTTCGGCCGCAGGGTGTTGCAGGCGGTAAGATCTGAGGCTCAACTGCCGGAACGGTCACCTTCCCTCCCTTAGGGACACCTAGCTTGGGTATGTCCCATGCATGGATGCTATCTGCACCCTTATTGAGAAAGATGGTTGGTAACTACCTGATACGCTTCTTCTAATAGGGTGGAGATAGCATGCAGCCCCATCCCTTACCTTTTTTGGAGGCGACCTCTTTTACCTGCCATTGGAGTATTTTTGTGGTTGATGATTGCATAAGGTTTTGTTCTGTTTACCTGTATCACTAAATACTGTTTTTTGGGGGACAACACGTGGAGTCTGTGTCTTCATTTACTTCGCCGGAAACTGGGGGGGGTAATACTTACAAGGACAGATTATATAGTACGTTGGCTAATTAATATTCAGACTCAGTCCAATCAGAGCACAGACAGTATCAACCCATGCATGGATGCTATCTCCACTCTATTAGAAGAAGCGTATGAGGTAGGTACCAATGCTCTTTCTCTGTTGTCTCTTTCTTCTTTGGCATTCTTCTTCCTTCTTTGGCATTAGGCTCTTCTCCAGTGAGTCCTTTCTTCTAATTAGTATTTGAGTTTCATCTTCAGGATCAGGCCTTCTAAAGAGCAGTCAGAGTTGATCTCTAGGACTGACCAGTTTGATCGCTTTGCAGTCCAAGGGACTTGCAGGAGTCTTCTCCAGCACCATAGTTCAAAGGCCTCAATTCTTTGCTGCTCAGCCTTTCTTATGGTCCCACCTTCACAGCCATACGTTGCAACTGGAAAAACCATAGCCTTGACTATACACACTTTTGTTGGCAGGGTGATGTCTCTGCTTTTTAGTATGCTGTCTAGATTTGCCATAGCTTTCCTTCCCAGAAGCAAGTGTCTTTTAATTTCTTAAAACTAGTTAGCAAACTAGGTAACATCATCAATGTCAGCAGGGAGTGGGGTTTGCTCTCTGTTTATTTATTAGTGGCTTGCCTTGTCAGTTACTGGGAGTATTCACTTTACAAAGAGATGCCTTTGAAGACAACTCAAAGCCCATTTAATGCCCTATTAAATAGCCTTCAAATAGCTAAAAATTATTCAATTCCAGTATTGGAGACACTGAAGTGATTCTCAGTAGACTTCTGGGTGAAATTAAAAGTGATGCCTTTAATTTTTAAATCCCTACATGGCTTGACTTCAGAACTACCTTCTCTAGATAGAACTATCCTGTCTGATTTGATTGTCCCTTATGTGAAAGTTTATGAAGTTGTGAAATAAAAGAAATGGGAATCTTCCTTTTTTAATGTCCAACATGTCATGGAAAAGTGTTTTCCAGAATTCTGTACTGTATTGTTATTTTAATTATGTTGATTTTATGAATGTCTTGTACTTAGAGTTAGTTGAACCTGATAGATGATAGATGAATGAATGAGTAAATAAAGTTTGTAAAACAAAATTATTCTGCTTTCTAGGCTACATATATTATAATTAAAAGAATAATTATACCATGGCTACAGGAGACCTGAAAGGAAACTTGCATAAGATAGAACAAAAACTTCGAGTTATAAATTATCCTAGCGATGTGGATTATATGGGGTAAGTGGAAGCATATTAGTCAATTCTTGGTATAAATGTGGCTTGTTGGTGAATTGCCTATTGCTCAGCAAACAACCATTCTATTCTTTGTTTTTAAATAATGTATAGTATTATATGAATGTAGCAAAGCAGTCTTTTCTGATCAAAACAAACTAGAATGGGAACATGATTTGTTTAAGATTTTTCTCTGGAATTTTCTGGATGAAAGAAGTAACATTATTTATGTGACATTGATCTAAACTAAATGATGGAAAGATGTTTTGCTGCATCATTCTATGGACAGGAAAATGAGTTTTTGGATACATTCATTGTTAAATGATAAATTATTATATCATCTGTATTGCTCTTTGTTTTAATTGGTTTCCAGAGAATCTGATTTAATGGAAGCTTTGTTCAAGAAAGATTGCCCGCCCTTCCCATTACCACCATCCCAAACAGCCTAAACACCACCATCACCACTGCCAAATGTTTCACAGTGGTAGCAGGGATGTGAAAACGGGATGGATCCAGTCTGCCACCTCCCTGCTGCCCCTGAATAGGCCAAACTCTGAACAGTTGGAGCTGTATGAAAAATGGAAGCCCCCAACCGCTGCTTCTCTGCACTCTGCCCACCTGCTTGTTCACTCACCTGGTGTGTCTGCCCTGGTGAGTTGTCCTCGCATGAATTGGCCGTGTTGAGTTATGATACGATGAATTAGAGGCAATGAGTTGGCAGAAGAGACTTGGTGGCGAGCTGGCTATGCCAAGTTGGCCGCACCGAGTTGTCCCATTCCGGCACAGAAGAAAGTATTCTTTTAACAAAAATAATTTTACCATTAAGCATTTTTTATGTCTGCTCTGGTGGCTTATAATTAGAAAATTAAATAAGAAATAAACAATAATTGAGAAATAAAAGCAGTGTGTTAAAATTGATAGTCTAAGGAGAGTTGGACTTTTGTCTGTTCCTTTGATCTCTGTGTTGTTATAAAGTGGAAAAAATGTTCTAACAGATTTGTCATCCTAGTCACTTATAAATGAATCATAATAAATAATTTGTTTCCATGCCATAGCATTTATTTTTCAATAAGTATTTAGCTAAGATTACATTAACTGCTAGATGATTTTAAACTGGTGATTATTTTTGTTGTTTAAACGGTTTCCCACAATTTTATTAAATACTAAACTTCAATGAAATTCAGAATACAGTACTTAAAATAGATGACAGCAGATATCAAGTGCAAAGTGATTTGTTGTTGCAACATCTCTCTCCATATAAAAATTACTTTTTGTATCCTTTTAATAAAACTTAGTATTTTTACATAGGCAGTGAATGTTTTGTCTAAAGTTAAAAATAAATCCAGTCCTCTTTTGGGAAAGACTTAAGAACCTACTCTGTTTCAATTTTTGTTATTTTTACATGTTAAAAAGTAATGATGCACTCATTCCCAAAAATGCAGATTAATGATTCTGAAAACAGAATATAAAATAGTCTTAATTAAATGTAGCCATGGTCTCCTGATAGTGTTTCAGAAATATAGAAATAAAAATACTGTGATAAAGGGCGATATAAAGGTTTCGAATGATCAGTTATCAGTTCTTTATTTTTTTCCCACCATTACAGGTTGGCAAAGGGTGATCCATCTGTATTTTTACCAATCATTAGCTACTGTTTCACATCATTCTCAACATATATTGCAGAGCTTGTAATGGAATCTGGGCTGGAACTTACAGCAAAGAATGATTCACGTTTTGTTGATGCTATGTATAAGGTATATATTTTAAATATGCTAATGTGGCAATGTTACCATTAATAATAATAAAGAAGTAAAAGTGTCATTATATCTTGAAATTTAAACATTGTTTAAATTTTACTGCATTATGGCATAGTGTTATAAGATCACTAACTTTGAATTTCTATATGCTGTCCTCTAGCTAACATCTCTCTGCAGAGGATGTTTTAGTAGTGTGACCTAGAATATTTGGTTATTTATTCTTTATGCTCAAAGAAAAGTGCTCATTTTTTTTGTTTAGAAAAAGTGAAAGTTAGAGCAATTCCTCGGTACCAAGAAAAAGGATCATAGAAAGAAGCAGGCCTCTGGAATTTTATGAAAAAGGGCTTCCCCATACCAACTGCAGCTGAGCAGACATACAAGTACTGGTATTATGAAAATAAATTCCTTTTTTGAAATCTATTCTCTGCAGCTTCTTCGTGATCAATTTCAGTACAAACCAGTCCTGTCAAAACAGCAGTTCCTTCAATATGGCTTTGCAGAAAGAAAAATACAGATTGTTTGTGATATTATTAGTTACATTTATAAAAGGCACAAAGAATTCAGTAACATGAATAAGGTATTGAAAATTAGTTTTATTAGCATTTTAAAGAAAAAAATGAGTTAATATAAATGTTAGCATTTTAAAGAAAAAGCTAGTTAATAAAGTATTGTTTAATAACTCATATTTTCATTTATTAATGTTTTTATTAATTAAATCATTGCCTATCTTTTAATTTATATGCCACTTACTAAACACAGAGTTTTTTCCTTTCTGATATTTGGAACATTATAATTTTATTTATTTCATTCTTTCATTTAAATTCTTTCTTTTTCTACATCTGTCTTGCAGTTAAAATTGCAATAGTTTTAATAATTACTGAATTATTTGTAATTTTATTCAAATGTATGAGAAAGGTTTATTGCACTAATAGCTTTGTGTGTGAAAGTTTCCACGTATATATTATAGTTTCCTAAAAAATTCCCTATCCCCAAATTCTCAGAATGTCTCATTTTTCTCAGAACAGTTTTTGGAGAGATAGTTGTCCTTCTTCCCATATTATCTGCTGATCAGTGCTATCCCATTAGCATATTGATATGATTGATATGAATTCTGTATCTTCCATCATGTACTTTTAAGATCCTGAATTTCAGTAGACTGATGTAATACACATACTCTGTTTTGCATAAAATACAGTTCTTAGCATAACTCTGAATATTTCTATATCTTATAGGTAAAAACCCAAACAGAAAAGAGAACCCATTTGATTAAATCTCTATCCCACACAAGTTTTTCTAATCAGTCTGTTACTGTAGCTAACAGTACTGTGGATTTGCAGCAGGTAGGAATATTCAATATTCTTTAGTATAAGAGTTAAGTATTTTTCATTTCATTTTTAAATATTTATCCTAATGGATATTTTGGTGTTCCCATATACTATTTTTAGATGCTTTATCTGTTTTCAGCATAAGTAGCTTTGTTGTTAATAATGTTCAGGGAGTATGTTAACTGCTTTATGCTATCTTACTGAACTGATTGTATAATTTCTTTGTTTAATTTTGCATCCTCATACTGTAAGATGACTTTCAAATGTTCATAATATAATCAATAATTTTTTATTACAGTCACAGGCCAGAATTACAATAAAAGCATTAAAAACAATAATGATAACAATAGCAATAGCACTTAGACTTTTATACTGTTTTACAGTGCTTTAGGCCTTTTAAAGCAGTTTACAGAATAGGCATATTGCCCCAACAATTTGGGTGCTCATTTTACCCATCTCAGATGGATAGAAGGCTGAATCAACCTTGAGCCTGATGAGATTTGAACTGCCAAATTGCAGGCAGCTGACAGTCAGCAGAAGGTAGCCTGCAATAATGCACTCTAACCACTGCTCCAGCATGGCTCAAAAAACAGACAAAATAATATATTATGATTAGTTGTGGATTATCAGTGGCTATTCATAATTTAGATCTGTTCTACCTTGCATCTTAATCAGTCTATGAAAAGACTATATCAATCAATGATTGAGGTGATAGAATGAAGATCTATTGATCTATTCCCCCCCCCCAAAAAAACCCCAAAAATTCTGACTATTCTGTCATCTCTTATCTTAGATTAACAATCTGCTAATGGATTATTTTTCACTAAATGAGGACACTCATACAAAGAATGCTGCCTAGGAGAATTGACATTTCTATTCCACTCTACTCTGATTAATATACAGCAGAAACAGAGATTAAAAAGAAAAACTACCATTTATATTTTAAAAATGGACTCTATTTTATTAGTTTATTGATTGTTGGCTGTTTTTTAATCCCTAATATGAGCAGGATAAGATATTTGGTTGTAGTAAATTTTTCAATTATAAATGAGTTTTTTAAAATAAAAATAAATTTTCTTAAGAAAACATATTAAGAAATCATACCCATAACCACATACTCTGTAAAATAATGAACCACATTTTCTGTAAGATTTATAAATTTATGAACTTGAAACTTAAACTGATTCTCACAACTATACAAATGAGACTGATGTTCAATCAAAAAGAGGAAATGGCCTATGTTGCCCTTGAGGCTTGAGATTACCAGTCTATGTAATATAAGGAAAGCAAGTATTTGTAGTGAATATCAGTGCAAATGTATTCCAAAGAAACATTAAATCAAAATGCTTTTTAATTGAATCAATTTTGTTTAATACATCCTTTACTATTACTTTGGGTGGGGTCTTTTACATGAACAGAAACCTCAAATAGAACGTCATAAAAGTGTGACTAACAAGCATATCCCTGAAGATTTCATCAGTGAAACACTGCAGGAAGTGAAAGATTGTGTTGTAAATAAGGTTGAAGTTTTGGGCTGTGACACTGATGTCTTGGATAATATAAATGTAAAGGTAAGACCATTCTTATTTTCTTAGGCCATGGTGATTTCGGGTGCTTTTTCTGGCAGTTCCTGGCAGCTACCTCTCCCTGGCGTTTGTGGACTCCCATATTTCTCGCTGGGAGAAAGAGCTGCTGAGGAAACTACATCTGCTAGATTTTACAGAGGATGCCTTGGGATACTACGGCCATAAGAACGCCCAACTTAGGGTAGTCCAACGGCTTGTGGACATTGATTTACAATGTCTATGAGGCAGAGCCAACAAAACTTGCTCCTCCCTGACTCTCAACCAACTTAATAATTATGGATTGAGGATGGCTTCCTATTTTTATACTTTAACCATTCCCAAGTATAGAAGAGCTTTTTCCCTAGCTTGCTTTAATGTCTTGCCCTCAGCACTTTTGGATGGTTGTTTTAAGAAGCTCCCGATTAACGAGCGGCTATGCCCCTGTGACAGAGCCGAGGTTGAAACTGTGGACCACGTCCTTCTAGTTTGCCCCATGTATAACGTTGACAGATCTAAGTTATTGTTTCTTCTTGAAATCGTCCCTTCTAGATCTAATGGCTGTAATTTGTTTATATATTGCCTTGGAGATGGCTCCTCATACATCCCCTCTCAGG